AATAAAATAAAGCAAGAATACTCAAAAATTACCGGATTGTTATCCCAATAGCACGGGAGCGATGAGCTTCTTGATCGGTTAAGAGACTCGCATCCCTTGGGCCATAATGGATATACAATCGAGGATCGTATATCTCGGCACCCATCTATAAAAAAGTAATGAAATCAGAGATTGTTTTGATAAAAAAAAACACAAAATCAAATTGTTTCGATTAAAAAAAATCATAAACCAAAAACCTACACGAAGAGCCTCTTCGTCCATTTTTTGGCGTAGGCCGGACAGAGGTTCGACGAGTTTAGGTTTGTAAGGGACGGGAACTTAGCGGGACGGGGGCTTTAGAGTCAAACTCTAGTAATTCTTTCTGATGTGGAAGATCGGACTTAGCCGCAACCACAGAGCATACTTAGAACGAGACTGGAGCGGATAAATTGAGGGAGAAAAAAGTGAAATTGTTGTGGGTGAGTTGTAAGTTGGAGGGGAAGGGGGTATTTATAGTTGGGGGAAGGGGGGGGGGGGGGGGGGGGGGGGGGAGGAACTGCGCAGCAGTTATTAGGGGAGCATTCACCGTCTTTGATAGACGCGGTGAATGCCTCGCGATTCCCAAACACGGTTCCTCCCGAGTCGACGTGGCGTGTTGTGAGGCGTCAGATCGTGGGAAGAAAACCACGATCCGTGCCTCACCGCATCTAACGGCCACGGTGAAAGCACAATGGCGCGGATCGCTGACGTAAACAAACACGGGGTATTCACCGTGTTTGTCTAACGCGGTGAATACCCCGCGTCTGTCCACGTCAGCGACTTCACCGTGGTCCATTAAAACGGTGAAGGCCTCACCGTTTTTTATTAAATCGGTGATGATTTCACCGTCTCAGTTCAAAACGGTGATGCATTCACCGTTTTAGACTAACACGGTGAATACATCACCGTTTTTTTTTAAAACGGTGAAATGTTCACCGTTTTTATTAAACGCGGTGATACACTTCACCGCCTTTGTCAAAAACGGTGATGCTCAAACATGTGTACTTTTGGAATTTTTTTTATAACTTATGTACTTTGGAATTTTTTTTTAATAACTAGTGTACTTTGGAATTGGGATTCGCTGATAGATGTCTGCTAATAGAATTAACCATTGGTGGCTGATGCTGGTGAGAAGCTGCCAGGTTTGGACCAGGTGAGCCAGAAGATGTGGGTGGACTTGGTGATCCAAATTGATTCAGAATCCTTTGGAGTCTGCTCAAATCCTCATTTGAAAGTCTCACAATAGTAAAACCCACATCCCTTGTCTCAGATAATGATCTAGTTTTTGGTTTTGACTGAATTCCTCCTGTATCACCTCCCGCGTTATCAGTGCAAAACCAGAAGTAGATCCAGATTCCTTGTTCTTTCTCTTCAACTTGTAACAGTCTGTTATAACATGATTATTCTTTTTGCCGTATCTACAAAGTAAGGTACCCTGACTCCCCTTAACATTCTCCTTCCCTCTTGATTGGTTCGCAGCCAATAATGCAACAGAGTCCACTTGAGAATCCTGACTTGGCTTGCCAAGTTGTCTCTCATGTTGAATGACATAGTGGAAAAAAGTTTTCATAGCCGGCAGTGGAATCATCATTAGGAAATTGGTCTTGACTCCCCCATACGATTCATTCAATCCAGTAATGAACCTAGTCACAAACTCATTTTCCCGATACTTTCTAACAGTAGTGTCAGTGACACAAGGAACAAGCTTCTTTTCTCCCTCGAGGGGTCTCCAGCAAGGGGATCCTCTATCCCCCCTCCTCTTTGTGATCTGTACGGAGGGGTTTGCTGCCCTGTTTCGGTAAGCCATATCAGAAGGGAAATTAGCAGGAGTCAAGGTCGCTCCTAGGGCGACCCGGATCTCACATTTGTTCTTTGCTGATGATTCTTATCTTTTTCTCAGAGGATCCCTCTAGGAATGTAAAAACTGGATTGAGGTCTTGAATGAGTACAAAGAACTCAGCGGTCAAAGGGTCAATTTGACTAAGTCGGCGGTCTGCTTTAGCAAGAATATTGCTATGCCTGATCAGGATTTTATAGCAGAGATTTTAGGAGTTGGTGTTGTGGGGGGTCCAGGATAAATACTTAGGCCTCCAATACTAATAGCCCGATCGAAGATGGATAACTTCCGTTATTTAGAGGAGAAACTATTGGAGAGACTTCAGGGATGGAAGCGGCGGACCTTGTCTTGAGCAGCTAAGGAAACATTGATTAAATCTATTGCCTTAGCTCTCCCTTTGCATGTTATGTCCTGTTTCAAGCTGCCTTTGGAGCTCTGTCGTCTCTTGGATAAGCATGTGGACTGATTCTGGTGGGGTGTTGAGGAGGGCCAGTCTCGGATTCGATGGGTATCTGGCGAAATATGTGTAAGAGAAAGCATGACGGGGGGGGGGGGGGGGATTCTAAATGAACCCCATTCTCTCTTGGCCCAGGTTTATAAAGGGAAATATTTTCCACAGGGATCCTTCCTTACGACTACGGCTCGCTCCCGTCCTTCTTGGGGATAGCAGAGTATCCTATTTGGCCGTCAGTTGCTGGAACCGGGTTTACGGTGGCAGATTGGTAATGGTCAAAAAGCCTCAGTGCTCAACTCAAATTGGATTCCTCGACAACATCCTCTCCCCTTTGTATAACCCCCGGGTGCTACCTGTGGGAGGGGATCTTCCGGTGGCTGAGTTGCACTGTCCTAGTGATGGGCGCTGGTGTGATTTTAAGATTAGTCAATGGTTTGATCCGATGACTTGTCAAGCTATCAAAACTATCCCTGTGCCTCGACAAAACATTAAGGATCGTTTGATCTGGCATGCTACTCCTTATGGGGTGTTCACTATCAAATCAGCATATTACTTCGCGGTTCTTCTCGATAGGCAGAGGAGGCGGTGGCGATCTCTTGCTAGTTGGATGAATAGGGCTAGTTGGATCCGATTTTGGGAGGCTAATATTCCCCCAAATCTGAAAGTGTTTGTTTGGCAAATCTTTCATAGAATTTTGCCCACAATGGAGGCCCGGATTGAAAAGAAGGTTGATGTCCTCCCGAGGAGTCTAGTATGTTGGGCGGAATCTGAGACTATGGAACATCTATTTCTTGAATGTCCAGTAGCTCGTGCCCTTTGCGATCTGTCTGGACTTACATACCTAGGAGAAGGAGTCCCCGTCAAACCTTCCCTCTCTTCCTGAAAAAATTGTTGGCTCTGAGTAGTCAACAATCATTGGTCATGGTGGTGGTTGCTGTTCTTTGAAGAATTTGGAGATCAAGGAACTGGGTAGTTTTTGAGGGCAAACAATTTGGGATTCTGCCTTTGATGAGGCAGTATAACCAACAGGTCCAGGAGTGTGTCTGCTTGTTGGTGGATCATCTTCATCCCCCAATCCCAGTACTGTGCTCTTGGGTCCTGATGGGTCTACTGTGGCAGTGTGTATGTGGGATGGGGCGACAAGGAGTGGGTCGCACTCGGTAGGTTGGATGGTGGTTATGAATTCTGATAGGGAAATCCTCTTGGTAAAGGGAATTCAGTTCCCGTTGATTGATGATCCTGTGGTGGTGGAATTTCTTGTTCTTCGGGAAGCTATTGCATTGTGTGTGGGACAAGGCTTTTCGGAGATAAGATTTGAGGGTGATGCCCAAGTAGTTATTGATAAAATCCTTTGTGTAGATACCAGAGATAATCTGATGGGGTCTATTCTTGACGAAGTTATCCAGTCTTTTACAATGAATGGGGGATTCAGTCTACGATTTGTAAGTCGGCGTAACAATAGGGTAGCTCATTTGGTGGCTCGGAAAGCCCTTTCTTTGTACCTGTCTACGTGTCATTTTTTTTACTTTCAGGATTGGCTGAATTCCAGGATGTAACTATCTATTATCCAATCAATATATGACTATCTTTTGTAAAAAATAAACCAACTGGTTTACTACAAGTAGTACTCAAGGCTGAATCTTATACCACTCTCTAAAACGCTCCCAGCCCTCCCCCATATTCGGAGCTAGTATAGCCCTTGTAAATCTCCAATTTTAGGTATTCGTTTATGTTCTCATCGGGTTATAGTCTAGTTCTCTCTACCTCTTTTCAAATGTGGCACAGTGCTCTACCCTATCCTATTCTAGATCCGCCGCTGTAGACACCTACTACTTTTCCTCTCTCTCCACCTCTAAGCTTGTTCCGACATGTTTCATGTTTGTAAACTGTAACGGCCTGTTTGGATACAATTCCATAAGAAATGGAAATGGATTTTCATTCCCAATTCTAATTTTTATGGAATTCCATTTCCAATATTTGTGTTTGGCATAATTCCAACAATTATGGAAATGAATTGTACTCTTTAACAATCATTAATGATTTAGTAGATTTTTTTATCTTGAGAAATGAAATACTAATGAGAGAAAGAGAAGAATAAGATAGTGGAGTTATAAAATAATATTAAATATGAATGGGTCCCACTAATTCCATTTCCATAAACCCAATTCCTATAAAAAAACTCAGGAATTGGAATTCCATTTCATTATTCTATGTTTATTTCCCAACCTTCTTACTATTCCAAACATAGAATAATGAAATGGAATTCCAATTCCTGAGTTTTTTTATCCATCCAAAGAGGCTATAAATGGTGGTTGTGGTGACGGTGGAAGTTAGAACAGGGTAAAAAGAGGTGGGGTCTTTGAGTGGTAGTAGTGAGAAGGAAAAGGAACGAAGATATTCACAAGGATATTGAGATGAGGAAACTCTCTGATTGGTCTCAATTATCTATACATGATTTTCGTTAGATACTGGGATATGCTTGTTTATGTACACGTACTGTAGTGTAAGAGAAAGGAAACAAAAGCTACCACATGGCGGACAGTTCATGGTTCGGACAGGATAACGGATTATTGCAGTTGCAGAAAGAAAGAATTTGTCGGTGAGGAATTAGTGAAGGATGGTCAAGAAGTGCTATGGTCTCCAACATGACAATCAATGGTGTGGTATGGTGGTTTGCAACAAGGAAGGATGTGAGTGTCAGTAGCCAGCTTGGGATTCAATTCTCTCATTCAAGCTCTCAAGCAGTAGGTAACTCGAAAGTCTGGGTGTTACAAATGAAACTTAATAAAAATGCAATAAACTAAAAAGAAATAAAAATTGATAACTGATTCAACGAAGAAGGAAAAAATTGTAATTGATGATTAGACTCGTTCTTAATTTGTTTCACGGTATAGGTGGGGAGCCAAACGCGGCTCAGGAAACGCTACGAGGGGCATGGCGAGGGAGAGCTCGTTCTCAGCTTCAGCAAGATCAACGCCCCCCGACGGAGTAGTCCACGTGAAGCACTGTAGAAGTCTGGCTAGCAGCATGGTGGCCATGCAGGTCCCGAGCACCGTCCCCACACAACCACGCCTCCCAGTGCTAAACGATATAAACTTAAGGTCGTGCTCAGCGAGAACCACCTCTCCATCATCACCACCCATGTGACGCTCAGGGTCGAATCTGAGCGGGTCGGTCCACACCTTCGGGTTTCGACCCAGGCCATACCGGCTTAGCAGGGCGTGACTGCCCTTCGGTATGAGGTAGCCAGCCACGACGGTATCGTGGGTGGACACATGGGGGACGTTAAACGGAAACACCGGGTGCAGCCGAAACGCTTCCCTGATGCACGCCTTCACGTAATTCAGTTTTTCTATATCCGATTCCTGGACGAGTCGCGGCGAATCTTTCCCAACAACTCGATCGATTTCACCCGTAGCCTTTCTCATCAGATCCGGTTGGTTGATCAGCTCGGCCATCGTCCACTCCACCGCATTGGATGGGTTGTCTATCACCGCCATCATTATTTCCTGCCACATCCATACAATGCACCTATTAAACAAGAACAATTTCCGCCATAAGTCATAGTAATATTAGTATTTATTATTACCGCAGCCTGGCACTTGGTTTCTTGGGGAGTAAGCAAGGGTTTCCCGTCGTCATCCTTGAGAGTGACGAAGACGTCAATGAGGTCATCGATCTCCTTCCTCTCCCCGCTTCTCCACTGCCGAATCCTCTCGTCGATAATAGGGTTTTGGGGAGCTTTGATGGCTTTATCCGCTTCCTTGACGATCTTCTCCTTTCCGTCAAAGTTCCATCCCCTCAGCCCCGGGAAGTAATCCGATATGGACGACCAGTACAAGTTTTTCAACGCCGTGAACACCGCCTCCAAGTGCTCCACTTCCGTCGGCCCAGGCCCGCCGTCGGAGGTGGGATTTCCAAAGAATCTGGAGAAGTGTGGGTAGCATTAAATAATTTGCCAAAACGTGTTAGCTCGTTTTTTTTTTAATAAATAAGGGTGATATATGTCGATTTTTATAATTGGATCTACTAAATATATTTGAACATGTGACTTTCAGATTGAACACTAGTGTTATTACTACTAGACTAATTTCTTGTTGGCAACATGTTAGTTCGTATTATTATGATTAATAATAAATAAATTGTGTGAGTTATTGGTACCAGCTTGTTTATAACATAGTATACCTGCGGCCAAAGAGCATCTTCCTCATGACGTTGCCGCAGTAATGCTGCGTGGCGACCCTGAGGTCGACGCTCTTCCCGGCCATGCAATGGCTGTGGACGTAGAAGACGAGGTTGTCGGCCTCCTCGGCGCGCTTGTCGTGGAGCCACCTGTGCCGGGCCGGGGAGACGATCTCGGAGGTCATCACCTTCCGCATTTTGCGCCACTGGTCGTTGTGTGGGCCCAGCACTGTTGTCACGTAGCCGCCGCTGATGACGTGGCTTCCCAAGGAAGTGGGGCGGTCGGCGAAGCTGACGTCGTGCTTCCTCAGCATCTCCCTGGCGATGGCGGGATCGAGGACGGGGACTATGGTGGCGCCGCCGGGGAGTCGGATGAGGCAGATGTCGGTTTTCATTTCTTTCATCACGTCGTGGACCCACCGGAAAAAAGGCTTGGTGTGGAACATTACCTCCGGGAGGTTGCCGATCACCGGCCACGATGGCGGGCTTGGAGGGAGCGGCGGGAGCTCGGAGGCGGCGGGGGCGCGTTTTTTCTTCTTCAGCCTTAGTACGAGGATGATGGAGATTGGGAGGGTTGCGAGGAAGGCGTGGACGATGGCGGCGGCGGCGGGTATTTCGCCGGCGGAATTTAGGGCCATGGCCGGCCCTATGGATTTGATGTCGGTGGGGGAGTTTTTTTATTGTGTGAGTGCACTCACTTAAGCTAACGTTATTTTCTGGCTTTGCCTTAACGAATGCAATGCTCGTGTTGCTTTAAAAAGAGGCCCGTAGTTTATTTTTCGGTTGGCCGACAGAAAGATTTTTTTAGTTTATGTCAATTTATGGAAAACGTTTTCTGTAGTAATGATATCAGTAGTTTTGAATATAAAGATCTCAAATTCTAATCTTATACTAGCACCAAATTATAAAAAGCAATCTATATCATCCTTGTATATAAAGGAAAAATAAACTATTTGTGAAATGCAGGTAATAACATAAAAGGAATACATTGTTGTTTCCGGGGCTAAACCAATTTCGTTAGGCAGTTGGGGATAGAGGTGACAGTATGTAAATATATATGTCTCGCAATAAGAGCAAATTATGTTGATTAATACTCGTGTAAATACGGAACAAAACTCTTCGTTCAATTATCAGATTCGATTGTGGACATGTGTACGTCATTAGGTTCCATGGCAAAGGGTCTTGCTAATTTTGGGGCCTCAAGTCGTCATATTAAAGTGACCTATGTGCTTAGTTTTGGAGTACCCCTACAAAAATCAATTTTGGGATCTCACAAAATTTGAGGCCTCAAGTGAAATTGTACGGTGGCTGAGTTGCACTGTCCTAGTGATGGGCGCTGGTGTGATTTTAAGATTAGTCAATGGTTTGATCCGATGACTTGTCAAGCTATCAAAACTATCCCTGTGCCTCGACAAAACATTAAGGATCGTTTGATCTGGCATGCTACTCCTTATGGGGTGTTCACTATCAAATCAGCATATTACTTCGCGGTTCTTCTCGATAGGCAGAGGAGGCGGTGGCGATCTCTTGCTAGTTGGATGAATAGGGCTAGTTGGATCCGATTTTGGGAGGCTAATATTCCCCCAAATCTGAAAGTGTTTGTTTGGCAAATCTTTCATAGAATTTTGCCCACAATGGAGGCCCGGATTGAAAAGAAGGTTGATGTCCTCCCGAGGAGTCTAGTATGTTGGGCGGAATCTGAGACTATGGAACATCTATTTCTTGAATGTCCAGTAGCTCGTGCCCTTTGCGATCTGTCTGGACTTACATACCTAGGAGAAGGAGTCCCCGTCAAACCTTCCCTCTCTTCCTGAAAAAATTGTTGGCTCTGAGTAGTCAACAATCATTGGTCATGGTGGTGGTTGCTGTTCTTTGAAGAATTTGGAGATCAAGGAACTGGGTAGTTTTTGAGGGCAAACAATTTGGGATTCTGCCTTTGATGAGGCAGTATAACCAACAGGTCCAGGAGTGTGTCTGCTTGTTGGTGGATCATCTTCATCCCCCAATCCCAGTACTGTGCTCTTGGGTCCTGATGGGTCTACTGTGGCAGTGTGTATGTGGGATGGGGCGACAAGGAGTGGGTCGCACTCGGTAGGTTGGATGGTGGTTATGAATTCTGATAGGGAAATCCTCTTGGTAAAGGGAATTCAGTTCCCGTTGATTGATGATCCTGTGGTGGTGGAATTTCTTGTTCTTCGGGAAGCTATTGCATTGTGTGTGGGACAAGGCTTTTCGGAGATAAGATTTGAGGGTGATGCCCAAGTAGTTATTGATAAAATCCTTTGTGTAGATACCAGAGATAATCTGATGGGGTCTATTCTTGACGAAGTTATCCAGTCTTTTACAATGAATGGGGGATTCAGTCTACGATTTGTAAGTCGGCGTAACAATAGGGTAGCTCATTTGGTGGCTCGGAAAGCCCTTTCTTTGTACCTGTCTACGTGTCATTTTTTTTACTTTCAGGATTGGCTGAATTCCAGGATGTAACTATCTATTATCCAATCAATATATGACTATCTTTTGTAAAAAATAAACCAACTGGTTTACTACAAGTAGTACTCAAGGCTTAATCTTATACCACTCTCTAAAACGCTCCCAGCCCTCCCCCATATTCGGAGCTAGTATAGCCCTTGTAAATCTCCAATTTTAGGTATTCGTTTATGTTCTCATCGGGTTATAGTCTAGTTCTCTCTACCTCTTTTCAAATGTGGCACAGTGCTCTACCCTATCCTATTCTAGATCCGCCGCTGTAGACACCTACTACTTTTCCTCTCTCTCCACCTCTAAGCTTGTTCCGACATGTTTCATGTTTGTAAACTGTAACGGCCTGTTTGGATACAATTCCATAAGAAATGGAAATGGATTTTCATTCCCAATTCTAATTTTTATGGAATTCCATTTCCAATATTTGTGTTTGGCATAATTCCAACAATTATGGAAATGAATTGTACTCTTTAACAATCATTAATGATTTAGTAGATTTTTTTATCTTGAGAAATGAAATACTAATGAGAGAAAGAGAAGAATAAGATAGTGGAGTTATAAAATAATATTAAATATGAATGGGTCCCACTAATTCCATTTCCATAAACCCAATTCCTATAAAAAAACTCAGGAATTGGAATTCCATTTCATTATTCTATGTTTATTTCCCAACCTTCTTACTATTCCAAACATAGAATAATGAAATGGAATTCCAATTCCTGAGTTTTTTTATCCATCCAAAGAGGCTATAAATGGTGGTTGTGGTGACGGTGGAAGTTAGAACAGGGTAAAAAGAGGTGGGGTCTTTGAGTGGTAGTAGTGAGAAGGAAAAGGAACGAAGATATTCACAAGGATATTGAGATGAGGAAACTCTCTGATTGGTCTCAATTATCTATACATGATTTTCGTTAGATACTGGGATATGCTTGTTTATGTACACGTACTGTAGTGTAAGAGAAAGGAAACAAAAGCTACCACATGGCGGACAGTTCATGGTTCGGACAGGATAACGGATTATTGCAGTTGCAGAAAGAAAGAATTTGTCGGTGAGGAATTAGTGAAGGATGGTCAAGAAGTGCTATGGTCTCCAACATGACAATCAATGGTGTGGTATGGTGGTTTGCAACAAGGAAGGATGTGAGTGTCAGTAGCCAGCTTGGGATTCAATTCTCTCATTCAAGCTCTCAAGCAGTAGGTAACTCGAAAGTCTGGGTGTTACAAATGAAACTTAATAAAAATGCAATAAACTAAAAAGAAATAAAAATTGATAACTGATTCAACGAAGAAGGAAAAAATTGTAATTGATGATTAGACTCGTTCTTAATTTGTTTCACGGTATAGGTGGGGAGCCAAACGCGGCTCAGGAAACGCTACGAGGGGCATGGCGAGGGAGAGCTCGTTCTCAGCTTCAGCAAGATCAACGCCCCCCGACGGAGTAGTCCACGTGAAGCACTGTAGAAGTCTGGCTAGCAGCATGGTGGCCATGCAGGTCCCGAGCACCGTCCCCACACAACCACGCCTCCCAGTGCTAAACGATATAAACTTAAGGTCGTGCTCAGCGAGAACCACCTCTCCATCATCACCACCCATGTGACGCTCAGGGTCGAATCTGAGCGGGTCGGTCCACACCTTCGGGTTTCGACCCAGGCCATACCGGCTTAGCAGGGCGTGACTGCCCTTCGGTATGAGGTAGCCAGCCACGACGGTATCGTGGGTGGACACATGGGGGACGTTAAACGGAAACACCGGGTGCAGCCGAAACGCTTCCCTGATGCACGCCTTCACGTAATTCAGTTTTTCTATATCCGATTCCTGGACGAGTCGCGGCGAATCTTTCCCAACAACTCGATCGATTTCACCCGTAGCCTTTCTCATCAGATCCGGTTGGTTGATCAGCTCGGCCATCGTCCACTCCACCGCATTGGATGGGTTGTCTATCACCGCCATCATTATTTCCTGCCACATCCATACAATGCACCTATTAAACAAGAACAATTTCCGCCATAAGTCATAGTAATATTAGTATTTATTATTACCGCAGCCTGGCACTTGGTTTCTTGGGGAGTAAGCAAGGGTTTCCCGTCGTCATCCTTGAGAGTGACGAAGACGTCAATGAGGTCATCGATCTCCTTCCTCTCCCCGCTTCTCCACTGCCGAATCCTCTCGTCGATAATAGGGTTTTGGGGAGCTTTGATGGCTTTATCCGCTTCCTTGACGATCTTCTCCTTTCCGTCAAAGTTCCATCCCCTCAGCCCCGGGAAGTAATCCGATATGGACGACCAGTACAAGTTTTTCAACGCCGTGAACACCGCCTCCAAGTGCTCCACTTCCGTCGGCCCAGGCCCGCCGTCGGAGGTGGGATTTCCAAAGAATCTGGAGAAGTGTGGGTAGCATTAAATAATTTGCCAAAACGTGTTAGCTCGTTTTTTTTTTTAATAAATAAGGGTGATATATGTCGATTTTTATAATTGGATCTACTAAATATATTTGAACATGTGACTTTCAGATTGAACACTAGTGTTATTACTACTAGACTAATTTCTTGTTGGCAACATGTTAGTTCGTATTATTATGATTAATAATAAATAAATTGTGTGAGTTATTGGTACCAGCTTGTTTATAACATAGTATACCTGCGGCTAAAGAGCATCTTCCTCATGACGTTGCCGCAGTAATGCTGCGTGGCGACCCTGAGGTCGACGCTCTTCCCGGCCATGCAATGGCTGTGGACGTAGAAGACGAGGTTGTCGGCCTCCTCGGCGCGCTTGTCGTGGAGCCACCTGTGCCGGGCCGGGGAGACGATCTCGGAGGTCATCACCTTCCGCATTTTGCGCCACTGGTCGTTGTGTGGGCCCAGCACTGTTGTCACGTAGCCGCCGCTGATGACGTGGCTTCCCAAGGAAGTGGGGCGGTCGGCGAAGCTGACGTCGTGCTTCCTCAGCATCTCCCTGGCGATGGCGGGATCGAGGACGGGGACTATGGTGGCGCCGCCGGGGAGTCGGATGAGGCAGATGTCGGTTTTCATTTCTTTCATCACGTCGTGGACCCACCGGAAAAAAGGCTTGGTGTGGAACATTACCTCCGGGAGGTTGCCGATCACCGGCCACGATGGCGGGCTTGGAGGGAGCGGCGGGAGCTCGGAGGCGGCGGGGGCGCGTTTTTTCTTCTTCAGCCTTAGTACGAGGATGATGGAGATTGGGAGGGTTGCGAGGAAGGCGTGGACGATGGCGGCGGCGGCGGGTATTTCGCCGGCGGAATTTAGGGCCATGGCCGGCCCTATGGATTTGATGTCGGTGGGGGAGTTTTTTTATTGTGTGAGTGCACTCACTTAAGCTAACGTTATTTTCTGGCTTTGCCTTAACGAATGCAATGCTCGTGTTGCTTTAAAAAGAGGCCCGTAGTTTATTTTTCGGTTGGCCGACAGAAAGATTTTTTTAGTTTATGTCAATTTATGGAAAACGTTTTCTGTAGTAATGATATCAGTAGTTTTGAATATAAAGATCTCAAATTCTAATCTTATACTAGCACCAAATTATAAAAAGCAATCTATATCATCCTTGTATATAAAGGAAAAATAAACTATTTGTGAAATGCAGGTAATAACATAAAAGGAATACATTGTTGTTTCCGGGGCTAAACCAATTTCGTTAGGCAGTTGGGGATAGAGGTGACAGTATGTAAATATATATGTCTCGCAATAAGAGCAAATTATGTTGATTAATACTCGTGTAAATACGGAACAAAACTCTTCGTTCAATTATCAGATTCGATTGTGGACATGTGTACGTCATTAGGTTCTATGGCAAAGGGTCTTGCTAATTTTGGGGCCTCAAGTCGTCATATTAAAGTGACCTATGTGCTTAGTTTTGGAGTACCCCTACAAAAATCAATTTTGGGATCTCACAAAATTTGAGGCCTCAAGTGAAATTGTACGTTTACATAATTTATATGAGCCTCTTGAAATTTCAAGGCCCGCCAGCAAATTGGGGGTTGCCAGCTACTATCATCAGGGCTCTCTCCAGTCACCATCCCTCTTAATGTCAGGTTTCCCTCTGACGTTCAACTCCAAAATGTATAGGCCCGGGACAAACATTGGACATATGCGAGAGATGAGAGGTTTGACGTGGTTTATTTGTATAAAGCCATTTACATAGCTTGTCACTTACAATTTATATGAAAATATTATGGCTTGAAACTAAATTTGAAAATTAACACTAAAGTAAGAATCCTATATTTCATCTATATATTAAAGAGGCGAAACAAGGCTAGCCTAGCTGGTGCCTGGTGGAACATCTCAGACAAGATTTTGAGTTACATTCTCAGTGATAGCGATGATCCCTGGAGTAGCACCTGTAAACGGTAAGATAGCCTAGCGGTGTCGCTGTGGGGTAGGTCATCCAGGGATGTGTGAGGTCCCGGGCTCTATGCCCCGTGTGGCGTTTTCGAAGGCTGTTGGGGGCGAAACCACGTTGGCACATAAAATTACACCAGGTGGCCCTGGCCCCTGAGGATTGGTCTCGCTCCGCCATCACAAAAAATGGTGTGTGAAGATGTTTCTAGGTAATAAACAAATCTATATATTGAAAAGCACAACTCAATATTTATTATATTAATCACAGATAGATCGAGTTCAAAATTCAATTATTCCAAAATATGTTATTTGAGTTCAAACTTTAATATTACTCTCCTTCTATATTATAAAAGAAGTCTGAATTAATCATATCATCATTTAGTTGGTCCTTCGAAATAATGAAATATGAAAATCATAATATTACGAAAATCAATTGAACGGAAGAATAATTTAGTAGTTGCGGAATACTTAATTACAAGCTTATTATCCGGCTCTTGGCCAGACGTAGTCATGAAAATTGACTCTTAGATTCTAACTGATATTACCTGTTAACATGTACGTGGCGATGGTCGGAGGTAGGTAAACAACACCATATATAATAATATGATGGAAAGTCATTATCCCATTGCATTACAAAAGAAAACAGTAAAACATAAACACTATAATGGACAATCCAAACCAAGCAATTAGCCTTAAATATAAACACTATTGCCATGCACCATGATGCCCCTAGAGTGAACATGAAAAAAAAAACCACAATAATGCTTACCTGGGGTCCAATTATCGATGATAAAAATGAAAGCCACCAAGAAAATTCATAAGAAAAACCCAATCTGGATTGCCCTTAGACCAAAAACACATTGACACCAAAGGCGATGAATCCCTGGCTGAGAAAACAAAAACCATCAATGTCCAAATCAAGTCGATGGAATGCGTGGGTCAGTTTTTTTCAAATATATAGTTTTGTTAATTAAAATGACAAAAAAATGAAATACAAAGCGTGCAATCTGTTGTAGAAATCTCATATACAAACAAAAGAAACAGGCAAGCAATATATGCGTGGAAGCACCAACACATAATAACTTATGTCGATATTCCTACCACTGTGAAATCCTACCAAATCACTCATAACCACTCTCCTACCCTAAACACACAAATGACTTACAACTATGTACTTTCTATCACTTCAATATGTATATGTCATTCGTCATGAACCATCCCCATTATCACGATTCTTATCCTTCTCGACAGCAAACACACTGATTGGTCCACTCTTACTCCTTCTTCTTGGCAGCTACATGACATTTTACATCAGTGCACATTAATTTAAATGACCATTCCTTGCTGCAATTTATGGCTTGGGGTAATATCACTTCAGTCATAATACAAATTTACATGAAATGAAAAGAATGATCATTATAATAGCCTTGTAAAATTTAGAGTACCAATGGCGATTACTCTTTTATCCTCGGTGGCTTCATCAATAAAATGAGATTGATGACTATCTCTACCAACGCATTCATATGATCATAGTATGATCTTTTGTATAAACCATTTCTGCTTACCCATTTCCGCATTGCAACTCCAAGAGCTAACTTGTTGGAGCTCTCCTCTAGGTAAACAACTTGTATCAACATCAGGCATGGAAACAAAAATTGCTTTGGTTGAGATACTATTAGGATCTTGTGATACTCTGAAGAAGGCTAAACAGTTTCTCTGACATTGTCAACCCCCAATCAATTTGATGTAGGTCATTGCTTTCTTACCATCTAAATTAAAGACGAAGCTCAGATTAGCCTCTTTAATAACTTAACTTGACAATTTCTTAGAGGAGATACAATCACGATTCACAATTCTAAAACAACCACCTCAGTTAATACAATCTTATGGAAACAAACACTAATTAAGCACCTAAATTACAGTTCTGTACATGTTTCCTATGAGGGTGTGCATGTGCAGATTATGATAAATATAAGAATTAAGGAGGGAGCTTACTTGTCACGCGGTTTTGATGAGCAAAAATCCCATCAATAAAGAGTTCGTTTTATCCTTCCCATGATAACATATGCTCAACATGTATTTATTCCTTGTAGAGAAGGATATCAAACCATCTTGTATCTGCTCCAATTATCACTATCACTCGTGCTTTTACATTGTAGCAATTAGAACCCCACTTTTAAATCTGGAAGCAAGTGACCAATATCACGAAACATCATATTGTAAAAACTTATCTACAATCATGAGGTTATTTCACTCAAAAGAAACTATGTTTTATATGTTGAAGATTAGCATTATAGCTTGAATAGTTCAATTCGGCAATGATCTCAGCCCTTACATATAAATTTTGAGTAAAAGTGGTATGATTGAAGCTATTCCCTATGTTAACACTAATCAGAATAGTCTTTGTTTACTGGAAACTAACCACAAAAAACATTTCAAATCAGAAAAATGATGATACTGAAAAGGACTATTGTGAGAACCACGCTTCTAGGGATTCTCGATACTGATCTTCGGCACTCGTGATAATTAGGGATTTAGGGTTTGAGAGAAAGAATTAGGGATTTAGATGAGATAGAATAGAATTGGGAATCGGCCGAGGCCTTGGATTAGGAGAGGGTAGAAATTAGGATTTGAGAGGATGAACTAGGGTTTAGGAGCTTCTTCTTAATATTGTTCTTGATTCCTCGAATAACGAATAACAACGTACATATATAGGAAAAGGAACTAGAAAACCCTAACAGTTAACCTAATAGGACTCAACTACTAATAACCTTAATAACAATAATTCTAATCTAATAATAATAATAATAATAATGGAAACCGTGGGTTTCCATCATACCCTCCTCCTTGAAACCAACCTTGTCCTCAAGGTTGACCAACTTGGACCACACCAATGTCTTTCTCGTGCAATCCAGGAGTCGAATCATCCGCCGCTTCCTTTTCTTCCCATTGGGGCTAGGCACTCGAACTCCTCCCACACAAGGAGCTCCTTCGGACTTGAAGTCCTTCACGATGGCGGCCAAATTAATTGCTCCCATACTGCCATCCAACCCAAGCTTATAACCCGGCACAACGTTATTCCCACAACTTGAAGTCAAACCCATGATTGCCACTCCAAACCTCATTAACATTCCCTTTCTTAGACAACATCCAGGTAACCCCAAACAATTAATCCACCCACTTACTGCACATACAATCCTCAATGCCCATGGAAATGGCCAAACGCCCACCATTAAACTTTGAAGATTACATCCCTTCCGTTCTTTCCATGCGGCCACTTGTATGAGAGCATGACTGCCGAGGTCGCAGCCGGTTCCACCGAGGAAAAATCCATTGTTGTAGTCTCTCGCGGCCTGATCGAACCGCTCGCGATGACACATACACCTTCCATCGTATTCGTTCGAGAGCACACGCTCTCCCTCAAACCACAGCCAGCCGTTCCTCCAACTTAGCATACGAGCTCCCTCACTAGAACTCGACTCCCCAACAAGTTCTTTTCCATTGTCTTTTTTGGTTATATCCAACACCTGGCCGCACCACTTCTCTGCTTCACGATTCCTTCCAAGTTTCCCATATGCGACCAAATCCCATGGAGTAATGTAGTTAAAGCAAGTAGTTACCTGCTGTCCTTCTATTTCTCCAAGCAATTGGCCGCCCACTAGCTTCCCCTGTGTGGGACTCATCCTCTCTTCAGTGTTCCACAGTACTTCATCAATCCCTGCAGCATTACCAATTTTGCCTCCCATTGGACCGCCCCTCGTGATTGAGGGCTATGATGAATCGCCGGCCTCATCCCTCATCGCGTCCCTCACCATCGTCATCGACATCTCCATCGACTCCTCCTTCGGTTGCAAAGAGCTTCCCCGACGGCAAGTCCAACCAACTTTCGACGCCGCCTCATCATCGGTCAACGTCGTCACGACAACCACCATCATCTTCTGCCTCGTTTCCTCCCCCGACCATATGCAGACCATCAGGTCGAGTTTCCCTT